TTTTGCTCTTGAAATGATGATGTGTCCTTGATGAGTTGTGAATGGATGGACTCATTGTTACAACATGGAGGAATACTAATTGATTTATAGATAGTTTACATCCCTGGGCTACGACCTTGGATTTGACCTTTCCAAAGGAAAGCATAGACTCACAGATATAGGAGCAGAGAGGAAGAGGTGTAAGGTTAATTAAAAGCTGATCATTCCTATGTGCATTTGAACTGAGAAAGTACTTGGTGCATCCCACAAAACATGTGCTCTAGGCAACCAGGTGCAATGGAGGAGTTCCAAAATCAAATGGAGGAGGCACTGGCCTAATTTTCTCTGACCCATGACAGGTGTGCTTAGAATATGAGTATTGCCTAGACCAAAGAAGAGTAGGAACTGAGGAGCAACAGAGACATGAGGTAAATTCAAATGTTGTCTTTCCTTAGTACCGTACGATATGTGACTGCACAGGTCTAAGGAACTAGGCCAACCAGAGAACTAGAAACTTGAATTCTTTCCATTGGCCAAGGAATCTTAGCTACGGGGAAATATGTAAGTATTGGAGGAAATATCTAAGTAATAGTGCCTGAGGGAGGGAGGGCTCACTGGAAGAGAATGTGACTTTCCAGTCACCTCACATTCTTTGCTCATGTCGGGGAAGATCCAGCCTCGGAGCAATACTATAATAGGATGGTATAGCTCTCTCAAAAAGTGAGGCTCACAGGAAAGAGAAGGATTTGTTTTAATTATTTAGGGACTCAGTTGATAGTATTTTATGGTTTTGTTGGGTTAAACATAAACTGTACTATATTCAATGCTTTGTTAGCTTGAGGGCTTGTGTGAGAGATAATAGTCAACATTTATATAGTGTGTTAAGGTTTGCAAAATGTTTATATTTATTATATAACATATAAATATACATATATACATATATACACACACAGTGAATATGTAAATTTGTTTTGCTTTACTATCATAATTTATTACAATGGTTTTTTTTCTACTGAGGAGGTGAGAGAAAATAAATTTGTTAGTTTTCTTTTAAAAGAAATTTATAAATTGTTTAATTTGATCTTCACCACAACTCTGAGGTAGATATTATTATTATCCTTATTTTACATATGAAGAAACTGAGGCTGAGAGGTTAAGTGACTTGCTTAGCATCACAGAGCTAGTATGTGTCTGAGGAAGGATATGAACTCAGGTTTTCCTGTTTCCGAGGCCAGGGCTTATTAGGAAGTTTTCCTCTTACGTAGATCCTAAATCTGCTTCAGTCCAAGTCAATTAACCTCTCTCATCCTCAGTTTCCTCCTGTCAGCCAGTTACCTAGCATTTATTAAGCATTTATTCTGTCTCCAGCATTAGAGATATAAAGAAAGGCAAAAAAGAAAAAAAATCCCCACCCTGAGGAGCTCATGGTCTAATGGGGAAGATGGCTTGCAAACAGCTATGTAATAATGATAATGATAACAATAATAACAATAACAACAACAACAATAATAATAATAATATTAATAATATTAGTAGCTAGCATTTCCATAGCACTTTAATCAAAGGTCGGTTGAGTACTTATTGGGGATGTTTTAGAGGGGACAAATTAGGGCAGCTAGGTGGCGCAGTGGATAGAGCACCGGCCCTGAAGTCAGGAGTACCTGAGTTTAAATCCGGCCTCAGACCAAACACTTGACACTTACTAGCTGTGTGACCTTGGGCAAGTCACTTAACCCCAATTGCCTAAAAATAAATAAATAAATAAAATAGAGGGGACAAATTGGATTCAACAGCCCCTGAAATCCCTTCCAGCTGTGAGATTCTCTTATGGTATGACCTGTTGGTCAATTTGATTTGCTGATATTTAAAATGGCCTAATCCAACACTAATTCAACTAATCCAACACAGTGCTATCTATATAGTAAGTTCTCACTAAATCCAATCCAATACAACCCATTCCAATAAACCTTTAATAAGCACCTCCTATATAAGAGCCACTGTGCCTGCTTGCTTGATATGACTAATGGCCTGGAGGAAACAATAACAAACAAAAGATAAATGACTACTGTGTAGAGCTAGAAATTCAGGAAAGTAAGTAGCCATTATAGGGAATTAGATTATTGGAGAGAACTAATCAATTCCAAAGCTTCTGCCACTGTAAGAAAGTCTGGTTGGCTTACAAGTTTGTCCCCTCCTCTCATTATATTAATCAGGCACCCAACTCCTAAAGAGCTAGCCTGGGCACCGGTGGCCAAGGTCATGTCTTCCCTATCAAATCATTGGATGATGGTGGCATGACCCAGGTTTGTAGACCATCTCAATATTCTGCAATTAGTCCCCAGGAGTATCAGTCACATATGCAATTGACAGATAATTATTTATTCTCAGTCCCAGGTGGACTCAAGCCAAGAGTAAGCAGGCTGAGGCTGCAGCAGTGTCATTTTCTTTTTTTTTCCTTTTTTTTTATTTTAGGCAAATACTAAAACTTAAATACATAATAAGAAAAGAAAAAGAAACATATACTTAAATATAAAATAAGAAAAAACAAAAAAGTCATGTGCACAGCAGAGGATTCAAAATATATAGCAATAACTTTTCATTTCAAGAAAGCCTACATATTAAATACTGTGCATTATGTTGAAAGCTATCCATCTTGTCTTTGCTTTTTGTAGGTTTTCTTTTGTTCTCTGCTGTACACTTTTTACTTTGTTCTTTTTTATCCCTCCCTCCCCCTTACCCACTACTTTAAGGCTACAATTGAGTTTTGGATTGATATATATATGTATATACACATACACTTATACATATATACATGTACATATGTATGTATGTGTGTGTGTATATATACATATACATTCATACATATATAAACATATACTTTCCCTAAGAGATTCTAGTCCTAATCTTTGTGTTTATGTTTATGCTTATCTCTTTTTCCCTATCTCTCCTAACTCCTTTACTTTACTTCTACCTGCTACCTTACCCTCCTATTACTTAACCTACCCCCACTCCAGCAATCCCTCCCTTATCCTCCCATTCCCCTAAATCTAAACCCCTTCTATATCCCCTTTTAACCTATTTCCACACCCTCCCCTCTAAAGATCCCTCCTTTATCCTCTCCCACCCTCTCTCTATCCCCTTAGAGTTTTATTTCTTTCTAAATTTAGAAGATATTTATACTCTTCTAAATGTATGTATTTTCCCCTCTTAAACCCATTCCCGATGAGAGTAGGTTTCCAGAGCTAACAGCCCCCCCTCCTCCATCTAATTCCTCTGTGTCTGTTCTTCCTCTTGCATCTCATTTGTAAAAGATAATTGCTCTTTTAGCTGCACTTGAATGGTTTTACTTTTTGAAGTCATATCATACTCAAGTCTACCCCAATCTTCCTTATAAGCTACCTAATTGCTAGTAACAATCTTAGACACAGGTTTTACATTTTTCATATGTAAAAGGTAAACATTCTATTCTTATTTAGTTCCTTGTAATTGGTCATTGATATGTACCTTTTATTTCTCTTGACTCTTGTATATTAAATCTTCTATTGATTTCAGAGATTTTTTTAACAAAGACCTGAAAGTCTGACAATTGATCAAAAAATGTCCATTTTTTTTCATTCAGAATTATGCTTAGCTTTGCTAGATATGATATTTTCGGCCAGAAGCCAAATTCTTTTACTCTTCAATATGTAGTGTTCCAAGACCTGCGATCTTTTAGCGTTGCCACTGCTAGGTCTCGAGGGATTCTAATTGTGGTATTGCCATATGTAAATTGGTTTTTTTTCTTGTTGCTCGTAATATTTTGTCCTTGATCTAGGGGTTTCGGAATTTGACAATAATATTCCTGTGAGTTTTCCTCTTGGAATCTCTTTCAGGTGGTGATCAGTGGATTTTTTTCTATTTCTGCTTTCCCAGTCTTGATCTAATGCTGCTTCAGGACAATTTTCTTTAATTATTTCTTGTATTATTGTATCAAAATTATTTTTTGATCAGAACTTTCAGGTAGTCCAATTATTCTTATGTTTTCTCTTTTTCTCTGTTCTACAGATCCGTTGTTTTTCTTATGAGATGTTTCACTTTCTCTTCTATTTTTTCATTCTTTATTGTCATTTTTTTATTTCTTCATCTCTTATAACCTCACTGGCTGCCCCTTGCCCAATTCTGATTTTCAAGGAGTTATTTTCTTCCTGAAGATTCTGGATCTCCTTTTCTAATTGGTTGCCTTTCTTTTCATAATTTTCTTGTTTTTCTTGTTTTTTGTTTTGTTATTCTCATTTTTCTTTTTGGTTTTTCCTCACAGAAGTATCATTTTCAGCAGTGTTCACCATTACGAGGCAATTGGTAGAATAATGGATAGAATGCTGGGCCTTGAGTTATCTGGCCTCTGATACTCACTAACTGTGTGTGACCTTGGCAAGTCACTTCACCACTGTTTGCCTCAGTTTCCTGTAAAATGAGAATTGTAATAGCACCTACTTCTTAGGATTGTTGTGGGCATCAAATAAGATCTCATTTGTAAAAAGTGCTTAGCACAGTGCCTGGCACATAGTAGGTGCTATATAAATGCTTATTCCCTTTCCCTTCTTTCTCCAGCCTCAGGTCAGGCACTCTGGTAAGGAGAGCCAGTCCCAGAGTAGAGGTCAGCAGCTTTGCCACTTTCATTGGTCCCCCTCCAAAAGTCAAGAGAAGGATCCACGTCATGCGGGGCCCACTCTATCTATTATTTTAGAGGGGATACCTTGCCCTGAATGTTCCTTCCAGAAGCACTGTAGAGGAGATGTATAGCTTGGATTTGAATATGAGGTACACAGGTCGTTAGCATCCCCCATTAGCCAAAAGTCAAATCCAGTGAAGCAACAAATGAAGGAATGAATCAGTGAATGAAAAAGCATTTACTAAGCACCAATTTGGGGCAAAGCAACCTACTGATCACTGGGGGCATAAATAGAAAAGCAAGACAAGACAGTCCTGGCTTTCAAAGAGCCCATATTCTAATAGGTGGATGTAATACATGTAGGAGGGTCCATTGGAGAGGCACATAGAAAGGCCCAGTGGTCCTTGGGGTGCGGCAGCAAGGTCAGTAGTAATGAATCTGTTGTTTATCTCCATTGATAAAAACCACCTCCTATCCTGATGTTGAACTATTGATAATGTCTTTGGGTTCTTTTCAGTCTTCAGAGTCAGGGCTGCTAAGGAGGCAGGGACCACTATGTAAGACCTGAAGAGGCACTTGCCTTGTCAAGTCTCCTCAAGAGTTGCTCCCTGGGTATGGTTATGGGGAGACTGAGTGGAATCTGAGCTGGTGTATGGGAGGGAGGATGCTACTATTTCCTAATTTCTTGGGCTCAGAGTCCTCAACTGTCTTGACTGTGGTCAGAAGGCAGGTGCTGATGGTTTAAGCTGCCTGACACAAACTACCACCTGTATCTCCCCCATTGGTGCCTTATTGATTCAGGTAGGCTTGCTTGCCTTCCTGTCAGGTCTTAACTAGTTGGTGCTGGGCCAAAGGGGCTCAATGATTTGCCCGAGTTAACCCTTGAAGAACCAGGTTTCAATCCCAAGGCCCTGACTCCAAATCTAATGTTTTTCTGTACATTCCAGATGACAGACTGGCCAGCCCATCACTGGCAGGAATCTAATTCACTATGAAATAATTAGATCATGTCTAGAGGCAGGGGGAAGGCTGGCTGTGAGGGGCAAACTGGGAAGACAATCTGTGGAGTTTCTCAAGATGGGGGAACACTGGCTCATTCACTTTGGGGTTCAGCCATTCATTTAGCAGAGGGAAAATACAAGGGCCAAATATGAAAAACAAAGGCTGAAACAAAAGACTGAAATGACCATGTTTCATTGTCCAAACAAGCAGCCACATAGAGCATTTTCTCTTTTCACAGAGAGCCACGGCTAATGACTTCCGTCATGGCCTCCTGAGTTATTTTCTCCAGCCAACAATAGGGCCCATATTTCATTTCTGGGATGGCCATTCATGAAACGCCAGGAAGCTGGAGGTTGGACTGACCCTGGGGTCACCAATTTCAGTCATTTCTCCTTGAACAATTGTATGAGAGCTTCTGCATGGCTGCACATTGGAGGTGACTATGGGTGGAGGCTGTGGAGGGCCAATTGGATGAGTCGCCAAGAGAGCTCATCTCTAGTCCTTGCTCTCTTATTAACTAGCTATGGGACTATAGACAGGACATTGGGCCTTAGTTTCCCCATCTGTAACACAAGGAAGTTGGAACAGATAAACTTTGAACTTTAAAGTTTTCTTCCCTCCTTTTCTTTCCTTTTTTGGCTATGAATCTTCTTACATCAGAGGCTTAGTTCCAGGACCAATTATTTCCTCTTGGAAAGTTATGTTCCTCTTTACATTGTTCACGTACTTCCCATACAATGGAGTGTCTTACAGACTGGATGATTGGATTTCCTTGCTTACTGAAGCTGAAGAAATAGAACAAGTCACCCAGGGCCCATTCAAATTACATCTGGAGGCTGGAGTTATTTGTATTAAAAAGATTTTATCTTTTTCTTTCTGGGATTTATTCAAATGGCATAAGCTAGGTAGTGTTTGCCAGTGTGCCAGCCATGGATTGAACTCCATGGAGAGTGGGACAGGGAGAGGAGAGAAATCAGCTCTCCCACCCTTGCTTTGTCAATCTTCCTCTACTCACTTAAATGCTCACTGTATACCCCCACCCTACCCCCAGCATCCCTTATTTCTATCTTTGTCATCTTTCAAGGTGGAGCCCAAATGCCACCTCCTCCGTGAAGCCTTCATTTGTAAATTGTGCTTCTTTCCCTGGCACTTCTTGCAGCTCTTAGGCTGAAATTTCTCAGAGCAGTTGTCACACACTGTTGGCCTTGCATTGAATGAATAAATGAATGAATGAATGACAAAACAATTACCTGGTGCTTACTAGGTGCCAAGCACTATGTTAAATGCTGGCGATACAGATGAACAAAGAAGACAACCCCTGCTGTCAAGGAGATCATGCTTTAATTGAAGAAGACAACACTTGTAGGACCATTCAGCTACAGGGAACATGGAAAGTCTCAGAGTTCATGAAAGTGTAGCTATGAGGAGAATCGCATTGCCGGAGGCATTGTTAGCTGGCATCTGTACCCTGTGAATCCTCTGACTACAGAAAATGAACCTGACTCCATCCTCCTTGGAGAAAATAATCTCCCCATTCTATGCCCTCTGTCTGCTCCTCTCCCCAGATCTCAGCATCCAGTCCTAATCCATGGAGCCAAGTAGCTCATCGGGAATGACTTCATCACTGTGCGAGTTCATGTTGAGAAACAGTGAAGGGGACATTGGTGTCTGCATTCCTCACATCTGTTATCTGGCACTCCAGCTCCCGTCAGATCATTTGAATACTCAGGGACTCTAGAAGCATTCAGCAGCACTTTCCTTCTGGGAAGGAAGAGGGGAAAAAAGAAGGGCTCAGAAAGAGCAACCTGCCAGAGAGATGGCCCAACAGCTAAGAATAAAAGGAAATATTTTGGATTTTCTCAGTCATCGAATGTTAGAGTTGGAAGGGATGCTAGAACTCTCATCTAGTTCAGCCTTCTCATTTCACAGATAGAGAAACTGAGACCCAGAGAACGGTCATAATGGTGAGAGTAAAGGTAGTGAGGAAAAGATCAATGGGAGAGGTCCATTTCAAGGATAAAGCAAAAACCCAAGTTGGCATTCAGAAACCCTCATGGCTTGGGCATGAGGTGGCAACAGTGGCTAGAGGACTGAAGGTGGGACAGGGAAGATCTCAGTTCAAATCCTGCTTTAGACATTGACTAACTGTAGACCCTGGGCAAGTCTCTTAGCCTCTCTTAACCTCGTTGCTCATCGGTAAAATGGGTATAATAATAACACCTCTCTCACAGGATCGTTGTGAGAACCAAATGGGATAATGTCTATAAAGCGTTTTGGAACCCTCAAAACTCTATGGAAATGCTAACTATTCTTATGACTTTAACTATCTACTTTATCAAGAGGATTTTCAGATCTGTACCCTTAGCCTGTACTTCTACCTTGAGCTTATACCCCAAATCTTTGATTCCTCAGAAATTGAACATGAATGACCTTCTCTCACTTCAAATTCAACATGTCTGAAAACAAGACCGTTACAGGTTGGATAAGAGGGTCTCTGGGGTCGTTCCAATCCTGAGACTCTGTGATGACAGGATCATAGGTCTAAAGCTAGCAGAGTCCTCAGAGGCTCTTTAGTCTATGGGAAGATTAATGCCCTGGGAATTTAAGTGACTCATCCAAGGTCACACGTGCAGTAAGCAGCAGATACAGGATGCAGACGGGACCTCAGACTCAAAAGCCAGGCTTCTTCCATTCTGTGTACCTCCTGGAGTTTTCAGGAGGGTCCTTATCTACTCAAAATGGGCTCCCTTTTCTGGCTTTCCTTTTCCTGTTAATGGTACTTTCATTTGCATGATCACCCAAGTTCAGAACCCCAGTCATTTTTCTTTTTCCTTTTCCCCAAATCCCCATATCTAATCAGTTACTAAGTTTTGTGATTTCTTGTTGTGTGATGGTTCTTATATTTGTCCCCCATTTCTACCGTTTTGCCTTAGCCACCATTCTAGTTCCACTCCATGTAAATTATGGCATAGATAATTGCAATAGTCTCTAGGACTGGTCTCTTGCCATCAGCTTCTTTCTCCTCCTGTTCATCCTACAAACCAATCCTACATTAATCTTCTGCCTTGATCCTATTCCTCCCTTGCTCAAAAAACTTTTAAATTGCCTCCTCAGCACCTTTATGAGAATGTATTCAAGGGCTGCCGTATTTAGACCCAGCTTATCTTTCTAAGCCTGTCTCCCATTTTATGCCAACATCCATTCTAGCATATGGGTTCTTAACCTTTTGTGTATCATGGAACCCTCTGGCAGTCTGATAATGTTCTTAAATGCATAAAATAAAACATATGGGATTATAGAAATGCTAATTATATTGAAATGAAGTTATCAAAATATTTAAAAAACACAGACCCCAAGTAAAAAACCCCTGTATCTAGCCAGACCACCCTACTCACCTTCCCTGAGTGCATGTTACACATTCTCACCTTTGCACAGCCTATTCTTATCTAACAGGCTTTTGCCTTTTCATCTACTTATTGGAATCCATCCATCCCATCCAGCTCAAGACTCCTGTCCTCCTTGGAATCTTCTCCAAAGACCCCAGCCTGCAGTAAGTGTGCCTCTGCTGACCTCCTACAGCATTTAGTCTTTGTACCATTCATTTGGCCCTTGTGGTCTTCCTGAAATCATCAGGCATCTTTTTAGGTTGTAAATTTCTTGAGGACATGGTCTGTCTTATAGATGTTTTTGACTTCTACCATGCCTAGCACATAACAAATCATCAGCACCCATTGATTGGTGATTGTTGACTGGTTTGGTACTCATGCTCATTACCAAATCAGCCCCAGATGTGGCCCTTTCATGTTACTTATTCTGACCACACATAGAGCACCATCCTTTCTATCTTCATTTTGTTAGGAAATCTTTTTTCACTAACTCAACTGTGTGACCTCTGCTCCATAAGGAAGAATATACTTAAAGAAGCTCAGTTAAAAGCCTTGTGATTGCAAGACTGAAAAGAAGTCAGTAATCCATGGGCGGAAACTACTGCAGCTTAGGAGACACCACATGAATTTTCAGAGTCATTAATGTAGCGGTGCAGAGACCTAGAAATTCAGCCTCCATTGCATCACTCAGGTACAGCTCTGAGGGCATTTTAAAAGACCCGTAATGGTTGGCCTCGGACGCTTGACTCTTACTAGCTGTGTGACCCTGGGCAAGTCACTTAACCCTGATTGCCTCCCCAAAAAGTAAAAAAAAAAAAAGACCCATAATGGGCCTGAGTGGCTAGTTCCATCAGGTCATGAAAATCTCTCTCTGCTTTTTTTTTTCTTTTTGGTGAGGCAGTCAGGGTTAAGTGACTTGCCCAGGGTCACACAGCTAGTAAGTGTTAAGTATATGAATCTGCATTTGAACTCAAGTTCTGTTGACTCCAAGGCCAGAGCTTTATCTACTGTGCCACCTAGCTGCCCCTCTCTCTCTGCTTTTAAAAATCTCTAATAGGATTATATGCTAGGGCTAGAAGGGACATCAGAGGCTATCCCACTGTCTCATTTTACAGATGAGAAAACTGAGTCTGAGAGAGTCTAAGTGACTTGCCCAAGATCATACGGGTAATGTAGATACTAATCACTTTACCTTCCTGAGAACTGGAAACACAGTATTAGAAAGACCACTGTAGGGGGATCAGGAGACCTGGGTTCTAATTCCTACTCTTCTACTAACTGTGTGATCTTAGGATGGAAAGGGACATAACCATCTGCCTCAGTTTTCTCATCTGTATAGTGGGGGAGCAGGAGAGGACTAGATAATGGAAAAGTATGGCATCGTGAGAGGATCATTAGATATGGATTCAGAAGGTCTGGATTCAAATCCAGCTCTGCCACTTCCTACCTGCATGTATTCAGCCCAATCACTCTACCTTGTAGGCCCTCAGTTACCTTAACTGTAATAGCTAGCATTTATATAGCATTTTAAGGTTTGCAAAGAACTTTATACATTATCTCATGATCCCCATGACAACCCTGTGAGGCCGGTACTTTCATCATCCCAGTTTTTACATATGGAGAGTCTGAGACTGAGAGAGGTTAAGTGATTTGCCCATGATCACATAGTAACTAAATGTTTGAGGCATGATTTGAACTCAGGTCTTCCTGACCCCAAGTCCATCATGCTGTCCATTGTACCACCTAACTGCCTAACTATAAAACAAGGGAGTGGTTTCAATGTTCTCTAAGATCTCTTCCAGCTCATAACATTCTATTATTCAATAATCAGTGCATGTTAGACATTGGGTTTTTTGGGCATTATTCAGTATGAAACAGAATTTGGCCTTCCCAACAGGGTGGGGTTATGGGACCTTATCATCAGTACTATCACACAGTGCAGACCCCAAGAACACAATTGTAATGACATTTCCATACACTTCCTTCCCTAGAGTGGCTTACGCCACCTGGCTGGGCACACAGCCTTCCAGGTTCCATTTACTGTAAAAGAGCTACAGAATGATCAGAATAAACTCCCACACCCAGTCTTACCTTTGCCTAAGTAAATAAGGCCAGCCCAGGTGTGACAGGGGGCAATTAGATTTAACAAAGCAACCATTACTACGTGGACACGATTGGGAACCTGGTTCCCATAGGAAATCTTTCCAGAGAAAATCATTTTAGGACTAAGTCTTTCTTTCTTTGAAGAGGCTTTCTGAGCACTGAGACTCCAATGTATTCCTCCTCTCTTAGGACTTGTTACTTTAAAAGGGATATGGATAAGCTGGAGCATGTCCAGAGGAGGCAGACCAGGAAGGTAAGGGGAGTAAACCTCATGCCACATGAGGATCGGTCTAAGCAAAAGGAGTCATTGAATTTTGCCCCAGGAGGCAGAATTAGCAGCAATGGGTGAAAGTTAATGAGAAGCAGATTTCAGGATCCAATAAAGGAGTTTTTCTTAGCCATTAGAGGTATTTAAAAATGAAGGGACAATTAGCAAGCTTTAATTAAGCACCTACTATATACCAGACACTATGGTAAGTACTGAGAATACAAAGAAAGGCAAAAATCAGTCCTTGCTCTCCAAAAGTACACAGTCTAATAGGAAACACAACATGCAGACAACTATATACAAACAAGAAATGGAGGGGAGAGTAGTCTCAAAGGGAAGACTCTACAAATAAAAGGGACTGGAAAGCTTCTTGTAAAAGGTAGAATTTTAGCTGAGACTTGAAAGAAGACAGAGAGGGCAGGAGATAGATGAGGAGCTAGAGAAGTTGAGTTCCCTGTCCCTGAAGGTTTTAAGCAGTGGCTGGAGAATCATGTGTCAGACATTATAAAAGGAACATTCCTTGGATTGAAGCAGTACTAGTTGCCTTATGAGGTCCCTTCCATTGCTAAGATCTGTGATTATGTGATAATGCATTAGAGAAACATTTTTGTTTCACATATTTTTGGTACTTAACACATAGTAAGAGAAGCAGCCTGGCATAATGGATAGAGAACTGTTGTGGGAATCAGGAAGACTTGGCTGGGTTCATGTCCTACCTCTGACATATGTAGGCTACATGACTTTGATTAAGTCACTTAACCTCTTAATGCCTGAGGCAACTCCAAGTTGCAGAGCAGCTACCGATCTCCTTTGGTAAAGGGAGTTTCCTTATGAGGAATTCCACATAAAAATCCCAATTCTGGAAGTAAGTCTAGAAAGAATAAGTTAACAAACAAAAGACTCCCACCATAAAGAGTTATTCTGGTGACAGGAGTACCCAAGACATAAATACAAAAGAAGAGAATGACTCCAAAACATCTATAAGCAAAGCCTCAAAACAAAACACAGCTTGGATATAAATCAAACTAGAATCCTAGAAGAAATGAAGTAAGAGTTTTAAAATTCATTTATAAATGAAATGAGAGCACTAGAGGAAAGAACTGGAAAGTAAATGAGAGTTTTTGAAAGAAGAATTAATAGCTCAGTAAATAACTTACAATTGTTCAAAACTTTACCTAAGATTGTGACTATAGACTCTTTAAAAATTAGAATGGACCAAACAGAAGTTAATGATTCCCTCAGACAATAAGAAATATTAAATCAAAGTCTAAAGACTGAAAATAACAAAAGAAAATGTGTGGTATCTCATATACAAAACAAATGACTTAGAGAATAGATCAAGAATTATTCGACTACCTGAAAGCCATGACCAGAAAAAGAATCTGGATATCATATTTCAAGAAAGCATTAAAGGGGAGGGAGGAAGAGAGAGAATTTAGAACTCAAAGTTTTAAAAACAAATGTTGAAAATTGTTTTTACATGTAACTGGGAGAAAATAAAATACTAAATACATTATGAAGAAGAAAGAAAGAAATAAAAAGGAAGGAAGGAAGGAAGGAAGGAAGAAAAAAGAAAGAATTAAAGAAATACTTGGAACCAGTAGACAAAGTGAAAATATGAAGAATCCACTAGTTACCTCTTAAAAGAAATCTCAAAATGAAAACCCCCAAGAATATCACAGCCAAAATCCAGAGCTTATAGGTCAAAGAAAAACATTGCTAACAGCAGAGAGAAAATGTTCAAGTGCCAGGAACCACCATCAGAATCATAAAGATTTAGCAGCCACATTTAGCTCACCACAAGGGGTGAGCTTGAAATGCAACATTCCAAAAGGCAATAAATAAGGGCTTACAACCAAGAATAACTTATCCAGAAAAACTGAGTATGATCCTGTAGGGGGAAAGTGACCCATAATGAAATGGTGGACTTCCAAGTATTCCTGATGAAAAGACCAGAACTGAATAGAAACTTTGATATACAAACAAAGGAGCCAAGAGAAACGTAAAAAGGTAAATATAATTGACCTATAAAAAGGAACTACACAAGGATGAAATGTTTATATTCCAGTAGGATGAGATAGTACAAGTGTCCCCTCAGAACTCTAATGGTGGGGCAGCTAGGTGGCGCAGTGGATAGAGCACTGGCCTTGAAATCAGGAGGACCTGAGTTCAAATCTGGCCTCAGACCAAACACTTGACACTCACTAGCTGTGTGACCCTGGGCAAGTCACTTAACCCCAATTGCCTAAAAAAAAAAACCCTCTAATGGTATTAGAGGTCAGCGAGGGAGTTAAATAAGCCAGAGGGACATAGAATGCTTTTATGTTTTGATTATCTTAAAAGAAGGGGGAAAAAAGAGGGAAGAAAGGTAGAAAACGTTATCTCATATAACTGGAATGCAAAATGAGAAGACTATGCAAAAAGAAGCAAGGGGCGGGGGAAGCAGGTGACACTTGAACCTCATTTTCGTTTGAACCTGTCAAAGGAGGGTAGAAGACAAAGAAAGTGGCAAGAAGCTGTGACTGAGCTCCAAGTGAGAGAAAGAAAAGAGGGGCTGGAGAGCAAAAAACAGACTGTGTCAAGTAAAGAGCACAGAGCACTGGTGCTGAGCACATTCATCTCTCACTAACTCTCTTCTTCTTTGTAAAGAGGGGGCCTCAGGAGCTTGCTAACCCTGGGCAAGTCACTTCACCCTGTTTACCTCAGTTCCTCATCTATAAAAAATGAGCTGGAGAAGGAAATGGCAAACCATTCCGGTATCTTTGCCAAGAAAACCACAAATAGAGTCATGAAAAGTCGGATATGACTGAATAACAAAAATAATATTATGGCTTACAGATCACTTTTATATTCATTATCTGATTTGATTCTCATAACAGTCACAAGTTGGGCAGGGTAGGTTTATCTTCCAATTTTACATATAAGGAAACTGAAGTCAGAGAAGCTGTGTGACTTGCCCAAGATTAAACAGTGCTCTGATGCCAAAATCCTTCTCTGGTGCTCATTTCAGTCCTACCACATTTATCCTCCTGACCTGGAGAAGCATTCTATCTAAACCAGGGGTGGGGAACCTGCAGCCTTGAGACCACATGTAGCCTTCTAGGTCCTTGGGTGTGGCCTTTTGACTGAATCCAAGCTTTACAGAACTAATCCTTTTATTAAAGGGATGTGTTCTGTGAAGTTTGGATTGGGTCAAAGGGCCTCACTTGAGGACCTAGAGGGTCAGATTTGTTCTGTGAAGTTTGGATTCAGTCAAAGGGCCTCATTTGAGGATCTGAAGGGCCACATGTGGCCTCGAGGCTGTAGGTTCCCCACCCCTGGTCTAAACCCTCACTGTGCTCTTGAGTGATAGATGACTTACCAGGAGGAAGGTCAAGCAGATCCCAGGTATTTAGTCATCCATTGTCTCTTTGCTTGGGGAGAGGTGGCGGGGATTTCTCAGAATTCTCTCCACATAAATCTGTTAGCTTCCCCACTGCTTTTCTGCTGTCACTGAACCATCCAAATCTTCTTTTCAGCCCCAAAGTGGGACTACTATGAGCTAAGATATGTAAAAGTGTGCTGGAAACTATAAAGCACTGTGTAAATATTGTTAGTATTCCTTGTGGTTAGTGGTCTTAATAAACACTTCTCCCTAACACTTCCTGCCACTTTTCCAAAAGCAATTCAGAAGTGAGGAAATGCCCCACTCTATTTACAGTCACAGTCCAGCTAATGTCATTATGTTCTTCCATGAAAACAAAATATTAGAGGAAACAACATTTCCAGGAATATATAACAAATAAGCAATCAACCAAATGGTACTATAACATAACTCTACAGTGGGATTTCCTTATAGCTAGCATTTATATAAGCAATCTCCTTTGAGTCTCATGACTCTGAGAAGTAGGTGCTATTATCATACCCATTTTACAATTGAAGAAACTGAGGGAGAAAGCAGTTAAGTGACTTGTCTAAGGTCACACAGCTAGACAGTATCCAGGACTACATTGGAACTCATATCTTCCTGACTCCAGGCCCAGCACTCTATCCGCTGTACCACCTCGTTGCTTTATAACGTTAATGATATTATTGGGAAGTGACATAAATCAGAGGCAACATGTTGAAGTGGAAATGATTGTGTGACCAAGTCACTTCATCTTTCTAAGCCTCAATCAGTTCCATCTGCAAAATCGGGAAAATACTATCTGTAGTAGTTACATATCGTGGTCCTGGTGAAAGTCAAGTGAGACTATATATAATCTGACCTTTCTGCCTTAGTTTCTTCTGCTGGGTCATTATTTGTGTCTTGCCCCCTTTTCATTGTAATCTCTCAGGGGGTCTATACAAGCCCCTTTTCTCTTCTCTGTATATTACTCACAGGATTGTTGTGAGGAACACTTTATAAACTCCTTTTAGCCTATGTGAATGTGAGGGTGGAACTTGGCAGGTACCAGTGAAGATTTTGCTCTAGGCAATGAGCCTGGTGATTTTAGGAACTGAGAAAAGGAAGTCCTACACTGTACCTAGAATATAACCACAATGGCAAAAGGAAGACTGGAGCTCAGAGCCCATCATGCTCAATGATGGTTTACAAAATACTTGTGAAATACAAGCAGTCCTTAAACAAAAAGAGGACTTGATCAAACATGATAGAAATGTAGCAAGTATGCACTGGCTTACTCTCCCAGAGCTAGGCCTGCTATATCTTCCTACTCAGGGGTCTGGGGTCCCCCAGTGCCTGAGGTACTACCTCCATGCCACCATTAGCTTAAGTCCTCTCCCTCTATGTTTCCTCCATTGTTAGGGGCCAGTAGTTAATGCCTCAGTTCCATTTAACTACATAACATTAATCAGCTTTTAAAAAGGGATATTTGCTTCAAAACTATAGCAAAAACAAACATATAAACATTTTCTCCCTGCACTCTAAGGGCATCCTTTCTGTTATACCACCTTAATTTCTTGTGGGGAATAGGCTCAAAGCTTAGTTCCTCCATACCATTGATTCCACCAAGTTCATTTCCAGATGCGCCATGCCTGCCGGTAAGTCCACATCTCAGCTCCCACTGACCTGGCCCTCAAATGTTGCTTCCTTAGATTACTCCTTGCTCCTTAGAGCATCTGTGATGTTCTGGCTATAAACCCACAGACTGGAATGCTGAGATGCTAAGGCAGCCTCTGAACCTTTCAAATTTATAAGGTCATAGAGACTCCTCTCCCTTCATCTGGAACAAATTCAGAGACCAAGAAGCAAAACCCTTTCAGTGGGCCATACGGCCTCAGAGGGGGGAAAGGCCCCAAAGCTTTTTGCCTTCATCATGTGGTCTCGCATCAAACACCATGAATGAAAGTGTCACCTAGGTCACCCGGGAATAAATGAGGTTAAAAAGAAAGTGTCTGATGCTGACAGGACTTTCTGAATGCCCTCACAGCCAATCAAAGAGTCTTCTTTTCAATACATGGTTAGCCAGTCATGAAATAGAATGTCCACCATCAATTTCAGTAAATGAGAAATCACAGTCTCTCCAACACACTTTCCTTTCATCAATCATGATTCTCCCATAAACAAGCTTCCTAGCCTCCCCACCCCTAGAAATGATGTCCCAAGGCCTCTCTCTCTCTTTCTCTCTGTCTTTCTTTCTCTCTGTCTCTCTCTGTATGTCTCTGTCTCTCTGTCTGTCTGTCTGTCTGTCTGTCTGTCTCTCTCTCTCTCTCTCTCTCTCTCTCTCTCTCACACACACACACACACACACACACACACACACACACACACACACAGACCCCCATTACACAAATTTTAATGGTTGAGTTCTAAGAATAACTGAGTCATTGAGTCCTCCTACATGACTTACCCTGAGTGTAGACTTTTCATTTGCCATTTTACTTTCTCTTCTGGTATTTGACACACTGTCCATGTTTTCTTTCAAAGGTCCATCCATCATTTGGAAACACCCTTTGATGTGTTAAGATACTGTCACCCACAAGTGGTGGATCTAGGACTGTCTCAGGTAGTCTGAGGGCAAGATCAGGGCTTTGTCCACATCACCACATTTCTTTCTACTCTGTTCTTTTTATAGAATCTCAACTTCAACATGCCCCAAATGGAACTTCTTATCTCCCCTGATCAAAGATGCCCCTTCCCCCAACTTCTCTATCTCTACTGAGGTCACCACAGTCTTTCTCCCACCCAGTTATGCAGCCTCAGACTCATCCTTGACTCTCTTCTCTACTCTCACCCCTCATATCAGTTGCCAAGTCCTATCAATTCTAGCCACACATTTCACTAATCTTGTTCTTCTCCACTATCCTCTTCAAGAACTTATATCCTCTCACCCAGATGATTACAATAATAATAGCCAGCATTTATATAGTGCTTTAAGGTTTGCAAAGCTCTTTTTAAATGGTATAACATTTTATTTTTGCAACAACCTTGGTGGGTAGATGTTATTAGTATCCCCATTTGACAAATGAGAAAACTGAGGCACAGAGAGGCAAAGTGATCTGCCCAGGACCACATAGCTAGTAAGTGTCTGAGGGGGAGTTGAAAGTAGGTCTTCCTCACTCCAAGGACAACACTCTATCTACTTCGCCAGCCTCTTCCTTCTCCAATCCATCTTCTACACAGCTGCTGAAATAATCTTCTTAAGGCATAAGTCTGGGAAAAAATGTCAACTTCTCATCCTATTATTTAAAGCCCTCCACCATCTGGCTTCCACCTTCCTTTCCAGACTTATTTCCAATTATTCCCTTTCACACAATCTGTTCTTGTCATACTGGACTAGCAGCTGTTCTCAAGTTCAAAATTCTATCTCCTGTCTCTTTGACTTCCCATGTGGTTTCCTCACCTCTACCTCTTAGAATGCTTCTCTTCCTTAAAGGCTCAGCTCAGGCCACCTACAGAATGCTTTCCTGATTTCTTCTCCTCCCCCTCCAATAGTCAGGAGTCTTTACTTCCAAAATTTTGGTGGTGTTGAGTTGTGTCGGTCATGTTCAATTCTTCAGGACCTCCTAGACCTCTGTCCATAGGGCTTTCTTGGCAAAAATGCTGGAGTGGTTTGTCATTATTCTTCTTCAGTGTCAAACAGACTAAGATCACACAGCTAGGACATTTCTGAGGCTGGATTTGAACTCAGGTCTTCCCAACTCCAAGCCCAGCACTCTATCCACTGTGCCACCTAGCTGTCTAAAGAAAACCCTTAAAATTCTTGTTGTTTATGTTACTGTTGTTTGCTTGTTTAGACATGTCCAATTCTATGTGACCCCATGGACATTGCCCATGAGGTTTTCTTGGCAAAGATAATGGAGTAGCTTGCCATTTCCTTCTCTAGTATGTCCCTATTTTACAAATGAGGAACTGAGGCAAATAGGGGTTAAGTGATTTCCCAGGGTCGCACAGTTAGTAAGTGTATGAAGCTAGATTTGAACTCAGATCTTCCTGACTCCAGGCCTGTGCTCTATCTACTGTACTACCTAGCAAAAATTATTTTGTTTTTATTTGTCTATACATGTATCCCCCATTCCAACTCCCTCTTCCCCCTTCCCCCCTACCACAATAGAAGGTAAGGTCTTTGGAAGCAGGGGCTGTTCTTGTATGTGCTTAATAAGTGATGTTGAATTGTGCCATCTCTTTCATCTTTGCAAAGTGCAAGGCCAGCATGAGAGTCAGAAGGAGAGGGTGTGCATCCATGGAACAAGGCTTTCTCCCTGAGGACTACTACCCTAGCTCCTATCGGGATGAAATCTATGATCATGGCTTCTCTAGCATCTGGCTCAAAGTGACTGGGTTTCTTCATAATTATATGGAAGGGGAAGCCAGCAGGCAGCATAATTTATACATGTTAGTAATAGACCAGGAAGACACAGGCTCTGTTTCTGCTTCCGTGGCTAACTCAGGGTGTGATCCTGCCTTACTAAAATGCATAGCCCTGCTACTGATTCACTTAACCATCAGAAAAATGGAGCTAATAATGTCTATAGCTTCCTTGCCCTCCCCTCCAGGAAATTATGAGTGTTAATGAGATCAACTGTGAAAGATAATCTGAGTCTCTTAAAGATAGTTTCTATAACTTAGATTTATAGGCTGCCAGATCTCCAAGGATCTCAGCACACTTTTTGCATTGTACCTCATTAACTCATCTCCTTTGGCAGGTGATGAAACTAAGGTACAGGTGATTTGCCTGAGGTCACACAATGAATATCCCAGCAGAGCTAGAATATACTCTGATAGGTTGGGGAAAACTTTCTAGGTTAGATATGAAAAAGAGCTTTTTGCCTTGAAGGATTTTTAAATTGGAACTGACTTACCAAGGGAGACTGTATTAATTCCTTAATTGGACATCTTTAAGAATTTCATGGTCTTTGGCCTGGTATGGCAGAGATACAATTTTGCTCTGAGCCAGAGAGATGGACTAAGGGCCCTTTGAGTCACCTTTCCAGAATTATAATATATGGTTCCATGATTAGAAAATGTGCACATTTATTGAAATATAGGAAATTCAGATGAATAAGTATTTTTATATGGCAAGGCCAAAAAAAAGTCCTTATCAGTGCCTTCCTAATTTCTTTTTAAAAGTGGATCACATATCAATAAATTCAACCTGTTATTCAAGGTCAATCGAGTCTTATCTTTTGTACTATGGGCCACCTCTCCCACTACCCTTCACTGTCACTTTCTTTGTCTTTGGTTTCCATTACTCTTTCTTTTCATCAGCTCTTTTCTATCAGTGGGCCTTCTTCTTCTTCCTCCCTCAAGTCTCACATAGGGATTGTCTTCTTTATTTCTACCCTCTCTCTTCCTTGGTAATATTATCTGCGCCTACAACTTTACCTACCACCTCCCTTGGAAACAACTCCATTTATCTCTTGCCCTGTCTATGCTTCAGATCTATACTCAACTCCAACTGGTTGTTCTATCAACACCTCAAATTCAGCATGTTCAAATACAATTTCATCATAAATTTCCCCA